GCCAGCCCGGGAACCAGCGAGGGGCGCGGGCACCCGCGAGCGACCCGCTCCGCCCCGGATTCCTGCCGCGCGGCCACGCGGGGCGCCGCGAGAGTGACGTCATTTCTGGGTTTACGGTGCATCCCGACCCTTCAGAGCCGGGGGCGCCGCGACCCTTCCACGCGTGTGCAGCAAGCCGCGCGCCAGGGAGGTTCTGGCCGAGCAGTCGGTGCTCACCAGCTTCGGCTCCGAGGCGGCGGGACTTGCCGCTGGAGTCCCCAGTTCTCCGATTATTAGGTGAACTCTTCTGAGGTCACGTCCTCCACAGATCGGGAAGGACAATGCTTCGTAGACATGTTCTCAAGAACCGGGGAATACCGCGTTGCCGTCACAACGCTTAGAAACTTGGTATTTTCGTACGGACTACAGTAAAAACCACTTAGTAATTGGATTTCCTACCGTATTCTAGGCAGAGAGCTCCTTGAGGCTGTCCTCTTCATGTTTGCATCACTGAGCTACTGTGTCTTGTGCAGAGGGGTAATTCATTTGTTCCAGGGTTCAGATGAACTCCTGCGTGAGTGGTGCAGAGAATGAGTGTTACAGACACTTCAAAAAGTTTCCTTAAGAAAATTGAAATCCCAGGTAGAGAACAGGGCACTGGAAAAATTGAACCGCTGATGTGCGGCGGCTTATGCAAGAAGCTTCCACTCCGCAAGTTCTTTAAGTTGGTGGTGGAGTGGGAAGCAGAGAACCACTGATGCGCTTTGCTAACTTACAGGACTAGCAGAGAACCTGCCTAAAAGGTAACAAATGAGTAAGACTTCAGTGTTGAGGTGGCACACATAGATGACGTGTGACAAAGCAGATCACCCTTGTAAGAACGGAGATATATTGGAAAGGTGGTTATGACTGAACTGAAGACTGATGATGGTAGAACAGTGAGGTTGGTGTTGAGGGTCTTGCAGAGTTTGAGGTATGTGAGAATGAGCATCTGCCGTGGTGGGCAAGGAGCTCAGGTTAGAGAAGGAAAGTCTCTAGCTTTCTCTTTCAGCTCCTCTAAATCCTCTGTGCTGTACTGAGCCACTTGCTCCAAGACAGATGTCCTTTAGCTGGATTTGATGGCTTTTCTTTGATTTTGCTTTCTTCCTTTTCAATTCTGCTCTTTCTTATGTGGTACCCAGGCTGCCCTCACCAAAGGCAGAAGTATTATTTCTGGAATCTTATCAGCATCTGGATGGCAGGGATCTGTCCTATCTTTCTTTGTATTATCTGTTGAGTTGTATTAAATGCTTAGTAAATATGTTTTTACTTGGTTGGTTGGTATTAAAGCCTGAAAAATTTAAGGCCATTTTGGAGGGAAAATCTGTATAGCTTTACAAAAGCATTACCTAAGCCTAAGATTTTATTTTGCGGTGTTGTAATGACGTCTTAGACAAAACAAGGGTATGTGACAGTTTTATCAGGGAAATGTTAAATTTTCCCTGCCTTAGGAATTCTCCCAGAACACTCAGTGGAATCTTCCTGAACCCTATCTCTATTCAAGATCAGGATGACTAAGGAGTTGAAGACTTTAGCAAACTGATCCCTAAGACAGTCTCCAAAAGCCAAATAACCTCTATTAGTAAAAGAAGGGGGCCAGACTAGGGTGTAAGAATCTTGGCAGCAGCGGAATAGGTCTATTGACCAGAAATTCTGCCAATGCTTTAGGTAGTAATGTTAGCAGGAAATGAATGTCTGGGCCCCAAAAATCTCTGAGCTAACTCTAGGAATGTTGCTGTTAGAGGCTGAGGTCCAAGATACACATTAAGGAGCAGATTATAAAGGTGCTGGAACAGTTCTTGACCATCCTGTCCAAAGAGCTCTAGGCTTGTGTGCGTGAGAAACATCCATAATGTGGAGGAAGTGAGCATGCTAGGAGGCTTTAGGGAAAGAGTTTGATGATCTAGGATACTGGGTGAGAAAAGAGTTGCAATCTGGGTAGGACAGTGAGGATGGTGGGGAGGGGACATAGATGCACAATTGGAATGAGTAGATCATTACTGAGATAAAATCTTCCCTGTGGTTCCAAGTCTCTCTCTTACTTCTTGCTATCTGTTTTCCATTGCTTGAAGACTAGATGAGCTTCTGGTTCCTAGGTCTCCTGCTCTGTGTCCCTTGGTTATACTACTTGTGATTTATAAGTTCTATTTCCAATTCCCAGTGTGGTTCCCTTACAAGCTCAACTGTATCTAGTTTTCTCCAGGTCCCAGCTTGTTGCCTTTGACAGGTAATGTTTTTAAAGAGAATAGTGGGCCACAGGTCTTGGAGTTTCCAACTCTGGCTTATGGAAACACAGCTTTGCTGTCAGTCTTAGAGATTCAGTCCCCTGCTGGAAGGAGGTAAGAAGCACAATTTGCCTTGAATTCACCTTTGGTCAGATCATCTTTCCAGAGTACTTCTCCTGACATCCATTTTGTATTTGTCAAAGGTGTAGTCGGGAATTTAAAACTGGATACTTTTGCCCTGGTCTGGGGAGGTCAGTGAAGGTTTCCTGGGAGTCACTGAGCTTTAAATGGACAGTGGGCCTTAGAACAGAAAGGGAAGGAGAATCATATGGGGAGGAAGAATTTAGAAAATTGAGTGGTCTGTATATGTCCTCCATCAAATTGACTAAAATGTAACAAACATTTACATAATAAACTCATCAGCCTTAAGGAGAGTTATTGTATCTGCAGAGAACAGTGAAAACTTGTTGAAATGTGGAAACTGGACTCTCTCACTGGCTTAATAACTTCTAGCACCCCAGCCTTAAGGTGTTTGTGACTCATCAAATGAGAAACAGAGACATGGATCCTTGGAGTCCCTTGTGCTGACTTGAAATGTTGAGGATCTTCTGTATTTAGTAAATTCCCAAATCACTGTAGATCTGTCTCCACCCTCCTTAGTAAAATCTCTGTCGGTGGCTTGTTTCAGGATCAGCTTCAGTATTGAATCGGACTTTCCTGATGGTTTCTATTTTTTTCTTTTTAAAGATTTTATTTATTTATTTGACAGAGAGAGACACAGCGAGAGAGGGAACACAAGCAGGGGGAGTGGGAGAGGGAGAAGCAGGCTTCCCGCGGAGCAGGGAGCCCGATGCGGGGCTCGATCCCAGGACCCTGGGATCATGACCTGAGCCAAAGGCAGACACTTAACGACTGAGCCAAGTGCCCCCTGATGGTTTCTATTTGCCTGCTTATTCTTCTTTTCTCGATTTCTGTTCAATCATATTATTATCAATGGCCATTGTTCCCACTTTCTCCAGTCCACTCTCTGTCCCTCCTCCATCCCTCACATAATGTTGCATTGACCTATGGTGATGGATTTACTCTAACACTTCATAGCTAATTCACTACTATTTCTGTTCATTCAGCTTCCAATTCCACATTTTCTTTGATTCTCCTTTTGATTCTTAGCATTCTTTTCTCATCCTTGTAATGAGTAGAATAATCTAGTAAAGAGGAAATAAGTTTTGGAATCAGAATATCTGGTACTGGAGTCTGTGATTTACCAGACATCTTAGGGACAGTGCACCAGCAGAGAACTCTCTTTATTCTGTCTCTAAAGCTTCCTAGTGTGGTCATTTCCTTTTCATATTTATTGCTATATAACAAATTACCCCCACATGTGCCATCTTAAACATATCTATAGTTTCTGTGGGTCGGGAATTGAAAGTGGTTTACTAGAATGTTCTGGTTCCGGGTTTCTCAAGAGGTAGCGGTCAAGATGTTGGCTGGGCTGTAGTCATCTGAAGGAAGCTGAGGATTGGCTTTCAAATTGCTTCCCTCACATGGCTCTTGGCCGGATGCCTGAGTGTCCTCACAGTGTGGCAGCTGGATTCTCCCCAAAACGAGTTATCCAAAAGACCAAGGAGGCTGCAGTGCTTTCTGTGGCCTAGTTTCTACCACCACTCCCACCGTACTCTCAGTTTTGGAAATTTGTCACTAGGTCCAGCCAAGACTCAAGGGGAGGGAAACGAGGCTCCATCCTTTGGATGGAGTTGTGTCAAAGAATTCACTGTTATATTTTAAATCACCACAGGCAAGTTACTTAACCTCTGTGAGCTTCTGTTTCTTCACCTCTGAATGGGGGACAAAAATATCTACTTTACAGGAATGAGTTGTGAGGTTAAATGGAGATATCTTTTGAAAGTGTTTTATATACATTATAACTCTCTAATGCTCTCATAATTTTCAGTGTAACCATTGCCAAAGATCTACTGTTCTCATCTGTGTCCTGGATCTTTACTGTGTTAGTGTTATCTCTCTTGAACTGACCCTGTTAAACTGTGCTTGATTTAGGTTGACCCATAGTATATATTCCGGGACATGCTTAAATCATCCTTTGCTCTTTCCCTTAGGTGTCTGTCTCAGATAATAAGTTATATCTGTGCAGTCTGTCTACTTTAGGTGACAAAAGTAGTACCAATAAGAAGTCTGCTCTAAAGAACCAAATATTTAGAGAAATACACATAGGCAGTACTAGCTACATAATCTGCAGGACTAGTGCAAAATGAAAATGCTTTGTTCAAAAAGCAGAAAAAGCATATTGTTAAAGGTATTAAAATATAAAACCTATTTTTCCCCT